CTAAATCACTTTGCTGATTTTTTTTTTCTTTTTAGAACAACATGACATTGACTTCACGCATGAGACATCTGCAAAAACGGGCGCTAATGTTGAAGCCGTGTTCAGAATCCTCATAAATGGTCGGTCCCCTCCTCTCTCTCTCTCTCTCTCTCTCTCTCTCTCTTTGCCTCTTCTGAAATTTCATGATTATTTTTCACATTTGTAAAAAATCAGTAGTGCGTGATAATATATATTGCTAGAATAAGCAAGAATTAATAATGTGAAGACTTTATCGTTAATGTTTCAGAAATGTGCCAGAGAAATGCGGGCAAGGCAGATGATTCAGATATCATACATCTCCAGTCTGACAAGCACCGGCGAGAACCATTAGTAAACTGTAAATGTTAAAAGGATAAATAATGTGGAGAAAGAAAACCGCTTGGTTATCGAGAGCTCAGGAAAAAACAAGTTATTGGTATCTTAATACACCGGGTCATAACTTTCGAGTATGTTTTCCCCTTTTAATTATCTCGTCAGTAAGCAATACTGTCTTCTCCTTGCTGTGTTCTTGTCTTTATCATCATTGGCGGCGTACAATATTAAACAAAAAAATGCATTATTGTGTTCAAGCGGGGTTGGCACTGCCGTTACCAGTGTGTTCCAAAAATCCCTTGAACGTTCGTTTTGGGCCGCCCTCCTTGCGGAGATGTGTGAGGAAGAAGCTGCACAGTGAATGTGCATCCCCCTCTTCATATCTTGCTTTTCTCTCGGATATGATTTTAAACTCCACGTGCAATATTACACTGAATTAAAGAGTAAAGTTTCATTTGGGAACACTTGACACGTAAAGAGATTAAAATTTAATAAGTATGACGTCATGATAGACATGATAATGCCATAAGTAACAGCTTAGATACTCTAAATGCGCTAAATGCAAAAATTGTGCAAACAGATATTGGGACCGAGGGAGAGAAAGAGATATAAATTGTAGACTTACTTAGCTATTGATTTTTTTCTCGTTACCTCAAAGATTGGGGGACGGCCCTAAATCTAGTAATCGTGTAATTTAATGAATAAATCTAATTGTATTTGTTCATGGTCTTGTTCCAATGCATTCATTTTGTAATTGCTTAAAAATTCGTTTATGGGCATGAATAAAAAAACTACTTTAAATTCTGTATTTTCCATTTAAAAATGCAACCCGAATTTATCGTACGTACTGTGCCAGTATGTCTTTACAGTTGTTACTATAACTGAGAGCTCGCATTCAAATATATATTTTTCTTTACAGATGTAACCATAACTGAGAGCTCTCATTCAAATACATATTTTTTCTTTTCTCCAGCCAATTACAAAGTGTCATGTTACGATCGTGACGTAACGTACAACATAGTTTGTTTTCTGAATTTACATTGTTTTCATCCGGGCCGGCGGTATGCTTATACTAGCTAGTCTTCAACGAAACTTAAACCCGCGCCAAAACACACCCACAAAAGCACTGCATATGAAAGTAAACATCCAGAATACAATACACTTAACACACTGCCTTTTGGATTTGCATAATGTGGCTTTTATTTGCTTACAAAATCCACAATTTGAGGAATAATGACAGCATTTCAACACCTGCAATCAGCTGACAGAAAAGCACAGCGACCTTCTGTATGAAAATGTCATATGTAACCGTGACTTGAAGTGGTACAGACGGTACCAGACAGAAATCGTATCGGGTATAGTGGAAAATATACGCCAGTTATGACTGTGCCACTGAAAAAGCCATTATGCTGTGATGTGCAATTGCTAGAAGTTGGATAAGTCGTGGAAGAGATTAAAGTCCCTTTCAGGGCACACTTTTAGACTTCACGGAAAGTACATGCAGGCAAATAAGGAGATTCAGCGCCGGTTAAGTTCAATTTGACTGAAGCAAATAGCCCTTCAGTGCGCGCACACTTACAATGAAGGAATGCTGTCTCACGTCTCTCGGTTTTCTCATATACGCTTCCTGCTATGCCGTGCCATACTTCGTGTCGTCCAAAAAGGTTGCTGACCTGTTGGTGGACGGGTCTGGACAATACGTGTACGGACTGGACGTAACCTTGGCCGTATACTGGTACATCCTAGGGGGAGTATTTGCTGGGCTGTTGATAGCGGCGGGACTTGTTTTCTGTATAGTGAAACAGTTTGGGGAAAGTATACAGACGAAAATGTGAGTACAACACCCTTTCATACAATAAGCATATAACAAAATAAGTTTCTTGTTGGAAAATTTAGCAATACTTCCTTTATCCGAACAGTATATCTCTAGATCTACCCAAAACCGTTGAGAAAATTTCGTTCCATAAGCCCAATACGAGAATGACTCAAAAATTAGAAACTCAGGACTCGGGATGTAGTTCTATAACCGTTTCTGGACATGGTGTACCTGAATGATCAAAGGAAAAGTGTTGAATTTTTAAAATAAAACATTCTTAGTACAGTGCGCATAAATATCCAACAGCCATTGTGTGTCCTTTAGATTCTCTTTAAGGTGCATAAATTGTAAATAAGGAAGGAATAAGGAACAAAGTCGTGTATATATTATATAAACATTATGTGGACAGGATAACAACCAATCGAAATCTGATTCTATAAATGTTTTGTGCAATTAAGCCATGTATCTGTTTATTCAAGATGCATCGGGGTCGGATTTTAAAGTAATCTCTTTTTCCAGACGCCTTCCCATTCTGCTCTACTGGATTTTCTCCGTGCTCCCGTCTGTTATATTACTGGTCTTGTCATACAAGGTGAGAGATCACTCAAATGTAATATTTTTTCTTATCCTAGATACGTCATCCTATTTTTTATTTTTATTTTATTTATTTATTTTTATTTTTTGGAAGTGTTTTTCACAAAGTCTGACGTAATCGATGCCGTGAACACCTTCCAAAGGTTTTCGTCAAACAACCTGAAGTTTTCAGCAGCTGCTCAAGATAAGTGGAGTTCGCACTTCATAGATTTTCTTCATTTTTTTTTTTATTAAATTAAGGTCTACGGTAAGACTGTCCCTTGTGACGTCAACACAACTGTGACGTGCCAAGTCTCTGGAGCCAATGAGCACGCTTTGGCACATTCGAAGTTCGAGGCATTCGACGCTTACTCGGTCATGGTGGTCCATTTGATTCTCGTGGTACTGGTGGGCTGCGAATGGTTTGCCAAATTTAAAGTAGGTTGAGAATCAAGTATGTTTTTGAAAATGCAATTTAATCGAAATCCTACACACCTGAAAACCGCTGTATTATTCTAGTTTTAAAGTTTATGCAATACTTTGGACGGCGGGTCTTCCTTTTCACTTGCTTTGATTAATTGGCGGTAATTATGTTATTTGAATGTGACATGTCTAAGTTCTTTTTACCTTTTTTGTTGGTTATTTTTTAAAGAGTCAGAACAGGAATCATAGTCATTAATTGCATAATGAAGTTTTCTGTTAATATCCTGTATAAAGTATCTCGTTGTCAATTTAACTCTTTCTTAAAACTATATTCTTTATTATTATATATTCAGGAAAACGACTATGAAATGAAATACATCTTCTTTGCCGAATGTGGAGCGGAATTTCTCCCCATTTACGACATTTCGGAAATGTGGAATCTTCTAATGCAGAAGGAAGTGCTCTTAAATGACATCCTTTTAACGGTAGTCGTAATATCCGGTGTCACCAGCATGCTGAGATTTGTCCCCACGCCGCAGAAAGTTGACGAATCCGGTGAACTTCGACCCAAGAGAGTTCACGTTTTAGTCTACCTACTTGGACACGAACTACCGTTCTTTATCATACGAGTCGTGGTCGTGGTGCTAAATACTAGCAAGACGATATTACCTTGGAATTATTTAATTTTTATAATGAAAAACGGGCTGTTTAGTATTTCGTACATGTTGCTGTTATGTTTGTTGAACCAAGCTGCACCTGTAAGCACTCAAGCTTGAGCAACGTCATTCACTCATTTTTTATAGATATGTATTTTTGCATGTCTAGCTGTCTATGTTAAACACTAAGAGCTAATGCTGTTCAAAATAGCATGTCATCTATTTATTTGCTCAACATTTGGTGTATTCCAGGATTTTTCATTAACTGTTTAACAGATGTATTATCTTTGTAGGAAGAAAGTATTTTCGTGTGTTTGTGTGTGTCCCCTTGGCCTTATAGAAGTATAAATATTTTGATGCATCTAGAAAGATCTACATAATAGTTGTTGAATACAGTCCGAGCTTTCGGCCCCTGGGGGGCCGAAAGCTCGGACTGTATTCAACAACTATTATGTAGATCTTTCTAGATGCATCAAAATATTTATACTTCTATTATTACCAAGATCTATACGGTGAATCAACATGAATCCCTTGGCCTTATAAAATGACTTGTTCCAGTATGTTTGTGACGAAGTCGTTGTCTGTATATTTGGCTGATACGCGAGGTAGCAAATACAACTCAGTTATAATCTTTCTTGTTATTTATTGAACTATTTTCCAGTTGTTACCTAGGCCGCTTTCTTCAATTTTATTTCTACCTCATGCAATCTCTAGCGGCCTTCTCCCCGTTCAATTGTATAAATATTATACGAGCATGTCAATCAACTCAAGATACTCTACAAAACACTCCCCGCTACTTATTCACTGCATGCTGTCAATTACTAACATTACATGTTGTATCATACATAGTAGAAAACGGGAATCAATATGCGCAGAGGTGCGTTATCAAGCTATTTATCGCCTTCACAAGAAGGAAAAACATAAACATTTTAAAATTACACAATAAACAATCTAAATGTATATATATATGGGAGATATATAATCTTGATCAATAAAGTCAAACCTACAGTGTAGCACTCTATACGTTCATTTGATTAAACCTTAGATGTTTCATTCGTCCAAGTGTACTAGTACCTTATAATATTTCCCCGCTACAAATTGTACTACATATACCGGTATTGCAAATCTTCCTGGAGTACGTAAGCACAATTTTTCTCCTACTAACAAAATTTTGATCCTTCTTTCCTGACACTCGCCATAACTCTGTAACAATCTGGGAAAATTAAAAATGTCCTAAACTTGTAAAGCGTTTTTTTTTTAACATTTCGCCAAAATTTTGACGACTGACTTCACGAGATTTAAAGCTGTGTCAAGATGGTTGTTAGTTGGCGAGGTTCGTAAGAAGATAGTAAACTAGATTATTTCTGCCGACGTTTAACATACGATTTTTCTATGACAATGATCAAAATATATAACTTATCCTCCGATAAGGTCACCAAGAAGTGGTTTATGCATTTAAAGTGTGTTTAAGTTCCAACACTTTGTATCTTAAGTCAAAAACAACAGTGAATATGTGAAAGAAAAAAAACATCATTGTTGTCCCAGATTTGGCCCTTAATCTTGTAAAGGTAGTCAGCGCTAACGTACCAAACCTACATTATTTTACAAACAAACTGAGGGCTCATCTTTAAATTACTTGGTCAATTAATATGCCCATTCTGCTGTTAATCATGCAAACAACCAATTTGGATCTGGTCTAGACCAGGCCCCAATTGGTTTTTGGCTCAGTCCAGTGAGTAACTGGACTAGATTGGGATCTGGCCTATGACAGTGTATCTACACATACTAACACCTTATGTACACTAACACGATTACGACAAACACACAGTGTTTTAGGTGAATGGATATGTATGATGAAGGCATTTTACTTTATCCCCGCCTTCAACATTTATAAAGAAAAACATTTAAAAACCGATCCGTTGATGCTCTGGTGGCACCATCTTTGTCTGTTCTATAGCCCGCAGCCGTGTCACCATGCATACAAACAGTCACCAGTCCTTAGGTAATTAAGCCATATACATGCAGATTGAAGAAACTCTCAGTTTCAGAGCCCAAAGCCGATCTATGCTGAATCTTTTATCGCCATGTATAAACAAAAAAGTTACCCATTCCCAGTCAGTTAGTGCTCAAGTTGGCGCCATCTGCTTGGAAGATATCATACCCTTACTTTCTTCATCAGGCGGTGTCGAGCGGAATATCCGCTAATATAACCCAAAATTTCCCACAACGACCTTAGGCTCGGGCCTCTTCAAATTTAAAATACAATTTTTAAATCGTAAATTAAAATTTCACCAAAACTCCTGCACTAGTCTTTTTCTCCTCGTAAACACGGACATTTAGACTTCTTCTTTTTAAGGTCCCCTTTCGACAAAGTAATGCCTTGCTCCCGTAGACGACGGAGGGGTTTTGGATTCCTATTGTATATTTCTGAAAAGACAAAGACGAAAATATACTACCAAATATATGAAACTTGCTCAATTGCTCTGCAAACTTCTACGGGTACATGTATATTACTTTATACGCTTTTTAACTGAACACTGACATGTAGAGAAACAAAGTAAAAATATCCTATATGCTATATTCTTATAACAAGTGTTGAGGCATTATATAATTTTTTGTTATTATTCTTTGGGAAAATTGATGTTGAATAAAAAAAACTCACCATTGATGAGGATTCGGAACACCGTATTCACATTCTGCTTGGTGGCCGCCGAGGTCTCGTGGAGGTACACGTGGTCAATACCATGCTCCTCTGCGGTAGCGAAAATATTTGGAAGCTGTTATTTGGTATGGTGTTAGGGGTCGTTCAAAATGAGTTAGGTCGACCTAGCTTGTACGACATAACGTTATGGGGACTCTCGCTGAATGCAATCAGATAAACAGACTGACACACCTCCTCTTGTTCCCAAAGAATTAGTATAATCACCAGCTTCCTTGTGTTCTACTCAACGCCACAAAGAGGCGTGTTAGTCTTTTAAACTGATTGCATTCAGCGAAGGTCCCCGCGGAGTTAGGTCGCACTAGCTAGGTGGACATAGCTCAATCTGAACGGCTGCTTAGTGCGAAACGCGTATTTGGTAACTCAAACACGGTTTTTAGAAGGTAATTTGTCAACAATTTTGGCCTTATTTAAAGAAAAACTATTGACATTTCCACATAAATTAACATGTTGCTATATAAAGGTCTATCGCTTATTGTATGCTTGAAGCAAAACGCTCTACTATTTAATTCCTGCTTACCAGCAAAAACGTGGGCGTCGTGTGGCGTCACCTCCCTCGCGTATCCCTCACGTACCAGCAAGTCACGTTTATTCCCCACCATCATCATAATAGTCCTGTCGTGCTGTTTGTTATATTGGCGGTATTCTCGGATCCAAAACGCCAGTTTGTCGAGGCTTTCCCGCCTTGTGACGTCGTACACAAATATAACACCGTCACAGTCACGATATATCCTGAAATAATTAAAGTACTACAATAAATGGTTTTGAATAAATAAACGAACAGAGTTACGTATGCAAAAATTTTTCTGTCTACTTAATTAAGCACCATTCTGTTGTTGAACAAAAAAGAATCTCCACTGTTATAACATTTTCAGTTCATTAAGATGACTCACGCCCTGGAGATGGGTGCATAAGTCTCCTGTCCGGCGGTGTCCCAAATCTGCACCCGTACGAAACTGTTGTCATCAATCTCGACGTCCTTAAAGGAGAATTCGGTGCCGATGGTCAGGGGCTGGGTCGTGCCTGGGAAACGCCCCTCAGTGTAAACTATTTGCAGGTTAGTTTTCCCTACTCCTGACTCTCCGAGTAGGATCACTGGAAGGAAAGAGAAAAGACATTTAATTATTTTGAATATTTAAAACTAGTGGATGTACCGGTGTCACGGTTGCAGACCGAGGTCATGAGCAGGCGTCGGGAGAAATTTCTAATGCACTTAAAAGTCACCAGTGGCTTGTTGACGATATTTTTATCTTTAAAATAAAATATGGTGGTTATTAATCAGTTTAACATAAAACTGAGAACAAGACTGAATTTTTCGTTAAAGAACATTTCGGTGTGCCCCACCCGTCTTCGTTTTTCTTACATGAAACCATACTTCTTCCTCGTCTTTATCCTCAGCAAATCATTTTACATCAGCATTAAATCAGAACGAGTAGCTTGCCTTATTTAAAATCGAAATTATCATTTATTCCCGCGAAGCAGAATATAATTTTAGACCTTGGATAACAGTCTTTAGTTTGAGTCAGTCCACACCGGGTGTAGATTCATGTTTGTGAGGTATTCATGTGTTTATGATAATCAAAAATGTATCCGTGACGTTTCACCTCGTCATTCTGGTTATTGGACCGATAACAGAAAAAGAGGTCAGGTAAAAATCTATCATTGCATCGTCTGTTGACCTACCTGTCACCGTTTATCACCGTTATTACACCAGCTTTCAATATTGATGACATTTGTTTATCAGTTCCAAGTACCGGTATATCTCCGTACTAACCAAGTAATCGCTATGAAAATGACACTACATGTTAAGATATATGTATGGACAAAAATACCTCTGAATTTGAGACTGTAACTTGTGTAAAACAGAAAAAAGAGCTACATTATGTGTTTAATAGCTCTTTCTTTGAAGAAAGTAGACGTTTATCTATTTAAAAAATATGTATCATGCCAAATGCAATTAAGTTATATGAATTATTTTCAACAAGGAAGAAAGAATTAATAATTTGTACAAATTTACATATTGAATAAGGGGATCAAGTATTCGTGTTGACATGTATGTATATTTATGATCTCAAAACTGCATCACAGAATATGAAAAATGTAAAAAAAAAAAAGGAGTATGGACGAAAGATGGGAGGCTTAATCCCAAGCTATAAATCTTATGGAGGGCAGGCTCTCAGTTTCTTGGCAGGGTACCAGTAATAGTAGAATGTTGACCTGATAACGTTACATAGAAAAAATCAAACAATACAACAAAGCGTGTGCGTATGGCCCTCATGGGTATGGCTTGCACGAAGAGACAGTACGCATTTAAGCAGTACGAAGTTTTTTTTAAGCTTTCCATTTTTCCTACACTCTACCTTATCCCCCTCCCTGCTCAATAACCCTCACACTATCCACACCCCGCCTTTACTTTACTCTGCACATTGTAAAAACATATTGCACAAAACAACTTGCCCGTTATCTACCTTGTACATATTAATACAATGTGGTACATCTAGGCCACTCATATGAGACACTCACCTTTATAATCGTTTCCTTTTGGTCTTCCCACATATTTCGTGGTGACAACTGTTTCTTCTGTCTCATCTAGTTTCTGAACTATAAACTTTTGGTCACACTCCCCATCGACGATGCCCCTCCTAAACACCTCGTAGGCAGAATCATCCTTCCTGTCAAGAACGTCGAGAAGTGCTTTCACCTTTTGCTTGCCTGTTAGGCTTCTGTCGCAAACCTCATCGTATTCCTGGCGGCCTATTTTACTCTCTTGTAACAGCAGCTCCACCACATGCTCGATGTTTAAATGTTGGATCAAAAAAGTCCGGTTTCTCCTTAAGTTATGAATAGCGGTATTCGTCGTCGTTTTTGTTGACGTATTACGAGCAGAAGCCATGTTTAATACGAAATGTTCCACACTTGAACTTTGCACGAACAAATGGTGGATATTCTTGAAAGGAAGATAATTAAGGCAGTGGAAAAACCCTTTGTATTGACATTAGTGGTTAATCTCTGCGTATTTCATGGTAACAGTGCTATAAATAGAATGCGGAATTCCCGCTTGGATCTACAGGTAATTCCCATTCAGTAAGTGAGCTGATAAGATAGCACACTGAAAGATGGCGGCCAGGGGAAAGAGAAACACTGGCCCGGCTGCAAAAATGAAAACGGACGTTTTACTTAAAAACAGGACATTTTTGATCAAGAACTTGCATATCGACGAAGTGCTAGAATTACTCTATCAGGAGAGGAAAATCGCCAAAACTGAATATGAAAGTATCAACGAAAAGCGAACTCGATCAAAAAGGGTGAAAAAGTTATTAGATGTCTTGGACACGAAGGATGACACGGCCTACGACGTGTTCAGAAAAGGACTTGAAGAAGGCGACTGTGACCAGGACTTCATCATAAGAAAGCTAGATGAAACTGAGCAAACGACAATCTCCACAAAATTAGTGCCCAAACCGAACAAAAACCGGTATAAATGTAGGTATTTAACTGGGGGGGGGGGGGTTCACGAGCGGAGTGAGTACGTGTTGTAAGAGTAAATGTACTTCGGAATTTGTGTGGGATATAAATACTGCAACCTGATATTGTGATCGTGTATCACGGTATGTGAGTCAATTGTTTGCGACCAAGACATGTCAGTCTATTATATATGAGACATGTTTTTCATGACCCTCTCTGATAGTTCACATTGAGTTCATAATTACATTTTTTTTTATTGGAGGCGATCGAGGGATGCCAGTTAAAAAAGACCTTAGCTATTTTTCCCGGCACACAGTTGGGCGTAGATAAAAGATAAAAAGCTCGGGACAATTTTCGAAGATTTATGTGAGGGAAATTGAAACGAATAATTTCAGGACTTTTTAAATGTTAACCAAGTTTTGATAACAAGTTTTACTTTATTCAGACACCATCACCCCACACGCACACACACACACGCACGCATAGCGTGCTGCATAGCTTTATGTGGAGCTGCATAGCTTTATGTGGTCTTTTTGCGGGGGAGAAGATAGTAGTCGTGGGGGAGATAAGAATAATATATTGATTAAAAGACATAAGTAAGTTGTTAGCACAGATCATCCCACTCACAGTAACCAATGCGTGGTTGACCCAAATTACAATACGTTAGCTATTGGAACCACTTTCACACACTCACCATTGTAACGACCCTATCTTTATGTGATATATTTCTTATCTCATTGGGAAAATGTAGGACAAAATACGCAACTATTACAGATGAATTTGATTTATACATTAATTGATTAGATAGTGAACAATGATATGAGGCAAGATGCTTTTACTCTTTTATTCTGTGAACCTGAATTTTGACACCCCATAGGTTAAAACGCAAGCGCGTGAAAAAAATACAAGATGATTTTGTGGGCCTTATTAGTCGTTAGGACTTTGGATGAATAAATTGTGTAATCGTCCAAGTTCAGACAGTGAACGTTGGAAGAAGATGAAGAAATTTTGAGGGAAAGTCCTCCATTTTATCCCACTGCCGACTCATTTCTGTGGCATGGATAGGATGAGACATAAGAAAGTCTATGTTGCTCACGAGACTTCTTAATAAATGTAATATTTCCTATAACTATACGTAGAAATCTGTTTGTTTTCTAAATTTTACGGTGACATTAATCATAAAACAAGTGATACATATGACTTGTAAACATGTACGTGTAAGCAGTGGGTATTAAAAATGCTAAAAGTACAGAAGGGAAAGAAAGTCGTTGAATAATGCATGAGCGGTTAAAGTTGTATGCGGCAAATTTAAGCAGAATTTTAATGAATTTAAATTACTTTCAAGTGCATTGACGTCTCTGAATCCCTGACTCTTGCATTTTCACATGTAAATACTGTCCAACACATTTGCAGGGTGATAATCCCTCATAGCAATAACAGCACTGGTATTCCATTATTTAAAAAAAAAACGGCCTTACCGCATTTATGTACACTGCAACAGTATACTGATTATGTGCAAACCAGATCCAGACACCCCCTCCCATAGCCAGCTCTATACCTAAATCAGAACCTCTTTAAGAATTTGTAGGATGTCCTCATAAATGGATAACTGAGGGATACTAAAATGATATCATACTATATTTGCACCGTATGTGGAACCCCATCACTCCGCAAACGTTACAGAATTTTTTGCTCCACGCACAAACGCGACAAGTGCGTCCTCCAGTCCAGAGGATACTACACAAAATACTAAAATGTGGCTTTGATTTTTTTTACTATGGTTAGCTTATTCATTGGTTGTACAATCAGACTACGGTTCCTAGTGAACTACCGCTATTGAGAGAAACACTAGCTGACTATTGCTGTAGGTGAGATATGCCTTGTCCATACATGTATGTAGCATGTGTGTTTGTTTGCACAATATCGTAATGCTGTTTGCTCTCTCTCTCTTCCATCCAGTGGTATTATTAGGTACAGCTGGGGTAGGCAAGACCAACCTGATGACGGTGTACACTGGAGGGAAGTTCCTAGTGGGGTCCACAGCGACAGTTGGCACGGACTTTGTATCTAAGAACGTCACTGTGGACACCGGGAACGAGTGTGAAGAGAGCCAAGTGAGTGTTCAGATATGGGACACGGCGGGCCAGGAGACTTATTGTGCCATGTCTAGAATGTAAGTCATTTTTATCTACCTCCAAGGGAGAGGGGTATCACAAATGCCCCCCCCCATACCCTTCAGTACAAGTGCACTCCTTTTGCATTTTAAAATAATAATAATGATAATAATAATGATGATACGTTTGAACTTTCACGCGCATACTAAAATCTGCGCCGCAAGTGAAAAATTTGATTTAAGTAAAATTGATTCAACGAATGTTTCCACCAACTTACAATTATCTATTTTCTTTTAATTAGCATTAACATTAGAAAAGTAAATAGAAGAAGACTAATGAAAGGAACGTATTTCTATAATTTCCCATTCCTTCTGTAAATTTGATATTAGTGTAATAATGTGCTGTCAATAATCTCCAGCACACACAAAACATGCCAAAGGGAAAGATGAGAGGACTTGCTGTTCGCAATTTATGATCACACAATGGTAAAGCAAAAGGAATACGAATTGTTACCGGCAAAGATTGCGTTCATTGGATAAGGTGTGCCGGGGTCTGTTCGCTCTTACTAATCAAAACGTGTACACATTTCAGGGTGTATCGGGAAGCACAAGGAGTAATCTTCGTGTACGACATATGCAACAGAGAAAGTTTCGAGAAACTGGATTTCTTCCTCTCGGAGTTTAGGCAGTACAACAGTCGCTCTGATAGGGCTGTGATGATGCTGGTTGGGAACAAAAGGGACCTGATTGGGAAACAAGCCTACAAACGTGAGGTGACTCCGGAGGAGGCCCATGGATATGCTGGTATGTATGATTTCGTCTGAAGAACCATAATGGAATAGGACGGAGGAGAAGGAGTTATTGCAACTACTTTGATTGTCTGAATATCAATCTTTGAGCAAAATGACCTTTAAAATGCTACTGTAGTTACGGTACTGTAGTGATTGATTACCCGGTCTATTGTTAGGTCATACAGTAGTCATTAATGGTACAAACGCACTTTTGCCGAACTAGATAAAAAATATCTTTAATTCAAAGGTTACCCGAAATTAGAAATAGTTCAACGATTACAATAGCAGTAGCATAAAATTAATCTAAAAATTCGAAAGTACATAGAGAAACATTTTGTCGTGTGCCTCATGTCGGGAGTCTTTATTTTATTTCAGAGGAACGCGGCTTGCACTTCATCCATGAAACATCAGCAGCGACTCAGGAAAATGTGGAAAAGGTGTTCAAGATTCTTGTAAATGGTAAAGTTTTTGTCATTTAGTCAGCTTATTTTCCCCTCCTTCCTTTTTACTCCTTTGATCCCCTCCCAGCCACCCCTCTCTCTCTCTCTCTCTTTCTCTCTTACACACACACACACACACACACACACACACACACACACACTCACACACACATCTCACTTTTTAGTCAGCCCTATTTTTGCTAGCTTACCGGGTCCTCAAGATCTCCGGTAAAGATGGATCTATGTGTCTTCCAACGACATGCGCTTGGAAATTACAGTGATTTTTCTTTTTTATTTTAAGAAATCTACAACAGAAACCCTGGCAGCGGACTGACTCAGAAGGATGACTCCGTAGTGTCTTTGACAGACGTCAAACTGAAACATAGAAAGATGAAATGCCCGTGTCTTCGGGGAGAAGCCGACTGAAAGTAGTAATGTTGGTGATTATAATCAGAAATCAAACTACTGTGTATGGCGATTTTCTCCTAATGTCATATATTGAACTGAGTCAACATCTTCAGTATGTAGGGTATCCCTGCAGCTGGGATGGAATTCATCCGGGATAACCAAATACGAGGCTCTGGACACTGTGTGACGTCACTGGCATACGAGGCTAGCAAACATGCATGAAGCCGCGTGAGGTCGGAATAGCCTTATAACTGAAAGGCTATTCCGGCGATGTCGTCTGAGAAAGCAATACAGAGTAACGCGTAAAACATGATGAATACAACCATTGTGCATGTCAAGAGAACTTAAGAGAAAATAACCCTCACAATAAACTTGGATGAATTCCGTCAGCTCTTATCCGTAGTCGCATTGCACTCACTAGCGCTGTGTCTAACCACTCCCTCATCCAAATCTCGCAACATCTCGCTTCGTTTTATGCCTAATCGCGAGATTAGAACTATTTTGGATGATTGCCCTTGGGAACTGCAAATCACGCGAATGATACAAAAGATAAACAGTCATTCGTATATAGTTGCGAGAAGTTAAATGTACATAGGCCTACACATCTTCTTCAGGAGACGTCTGAAATGCTTGGCACTACTTTCCGTAAACTTTTTGTAATGAATACTGTGGCCCAGTGCATAAGCAGTGCCTTTGCCTCTAACTATTTGACTTGACAGATTAAACTGTTTTGATTAAAAGCGAAGAATTAAGTATTCGAGAAATTAAATCCTCGGCATGTATGTAGGGTGTCGGGAGCGCACGTGGATCAAGAGACGCTCCCGATGACCTAATTACGTAAATAGACTTCATTAACTTAGGGCGCTGATTGGACACTCGTCCTGCAGCAGAAAATCCACCTAAGATCATCATGATAAAGAAAACTGGTATAAAAGATCGTTCTTGTTACAAATGGAGGTCAGTTGTTTAATAAAGCAGCGTTACGTTGATTTATCCTTGTGGTTGACTTGGTTTCTGGCGCACACACTTACGTGAAGTTTTAGACATACGAATCTGGGATCGATCGTGAGAGTGAAAGGTTACTTGTGTAAGTGAGCGTAAGTGAACGATAGTGAGTGAAAGCTTTCTACCATTTAGTACGTTCAGTACAAGGGTCTACAAAAGTCATTTAAAGGATTGGTTCTAGACATAAAATACAATGTATCAAGTTAAGGAAACCACATAAGTCAATGAAGTATGCGTATAGATGAAATTGATATGACATATAATTATAATCGTAACGTGTGCTCGCGAAGTAGCTTCTATCCATTGATTTGCATTTTAGGAATTTAACGAATTTAAACTCATCGTGTACCAGTCAAAATAAAAAAAAAAGCATGCGTACGAATTGGAACTGGAAAGGTGACCGATTAATGTAATTGTACCTTAAAGGCAGTAAGGTGGTAAACACAGAGGTATTGACTTTGATTAAGTGACATCACCAGATGAGGAAAAAAAACACGTCACAGATCCCATGTTTATCATTCCAGACGGTGTGTCACGAAAATTAACTTTCTTGTGATCTCAATTAAATTTAATATGACACAGGTTGTATTCACAATCAAAGCTGATCCGCGGACAAACAGATCCGCGGATCAAACATGGTCGACCCTCATGAAAACTTACCGCGTAATCCCCACGGAGAATGTATTGAGTGTCTGTTAGGGGATTATGCAGCAAACTTTTAAGTGGGTCGGCCATATTTGATCCGTGTATCTGTTAGTCAGCGGATCAACTTGTTCTAAATGCGCCCATAGAAAACGTTTAAGTCTGTGCACAACAAGACTATTACCTACTCATACGTGCCATATGTGACATATATTTTTAGATCTTTGCTGTGAAATTAAGGGCAAATGTAAATACAATAGGCCCTATAATTAAAATTAAGGGCAAATGTAAATACAATATAATTATAATAGACGTGCATCGATATTATAAAGTGATACTTAGCATTGGTGACAAATGTTCTTCAAGTCTAGTAAGATGTTTGGTTAATTATTGCACTGCGTTATAAATATGCAACAAGCTGTATATTATGTATTTTAAATAGGACTGTTTCACCCGTTTCTATTATTTTAATTTAAGCTGATATAATTTTAATAAAAGCTGTCTTGACTCCTTTCCTTGGTGTGTATGTGTGTTTGTGTGTGATTTTTCACTTAAACCAATTCGATCAGCGCAGAAGCAATATTTAAAACATTTTCTGTTGCCATCAAATAACCATGATTTTCCTTTGAGCAAAAGATGTGGCCGATGATGTAACTTCCATCTAAAACGATCGTCGTGCACGAGTACAGAATGTATCAGACCTCTTAGTGCTAGTTGCACTATCACTGGCTATAATAAACGGTTGACCGAAGAAATAAAACTGACCAAGTTCAAAGGACGTACAGGCGAGGACAAACAAAGCTGTGCTGCAACGATTTTGCGATCAATTTTGTGTTTTCAATCGATTACAGTATCGATCTACTTGTAGATACCCCACTTTGGTGACTCTGGACTTAACTTTTATTCTTAGCAGTTTAAGTCACGAATCTTCAAAAATATTAAGACTTCAATGTGGAGGTTATTTTGTGTCTATTCGTGATCATTGTCAGGGATTATTTTGATGTATAGCATCATAAATATATCATGGAAAAATTGGAGATATGTTACTTTCTACTGCTCATTTTGTCACCGTAGTATCTGAATGTTTGCTATTTCATCTACATTTAACAAACTCTCTGGACCCATGGGGAAATTAATATCATATACATTTCTGTTTTGTGGAGACTGCACGTACACTGTATAATTTGAGAAATGGCACTTTGATAGAACATAGAACTTGGATTAAATTCTGATGTAACAGATATTTTTATACCCCCTATCACCAACCGACTACGGGTCCGTACCATTACCCACTGTTCTCTCTTAGTCTCATAATAATAAATACTGTTTTTTTATATAGAAAAGGGTTATTTAAGAATCAATGCATAGTTTTTTATCTTTTTGCTTAAATAATTAAAAAACACAGAATCACAAGAGGGTGATTTTACTTTTAAGTAAAATTTTACGAAATCTTGGGATAACGAGGAGAAACAGATACGAACGTGCATGAGGAATAGTTATCGATGTTTTTAATTTATTTTATTTATAATTATTTTTTATTATTTATTAATATTGTTATTCTTATTGTTATTATTATAATTTTGAAAATTCAACTTTGTTGTAATGGACGATGTGCTTAATTGATTTATCATAACAATAACTAATGATTTAGAAGACAACGTGTTACTAGTAAGCCCCCAAGAATACTTCAAACTCAATTTTCACTCAAACTTAAGTCAATATGCAGGCAACGGTCTGGTTTCGTATAACATCGACGTGCCAGTTTCAATATTTTAAAAATTAGAATTGAAAAGAGGTATCAGATTAAAGGCTGGGTCGATATACATTGCAAACACCTTTTTGTAAGAGACAAACTGACAAACCGGGAACTGTGTGGAACTGTGTTTATTTGTAAAGTTCTTATCAAGGCAGGAGGAAGTTCATCTTGGCTTCACCAACTGTTTTATATACAATAAGCTGCTTTATGTAGACAAAGGTGTGATCAGAGTTTTATACTAATAGACGTGGTTCAATGAGCACTGTTTGCATTGGGAAACAGCACCAATGATCAATGCTATTATCCTGGCTAAAGAAATAAAAAAAGTCGATAGACTGCCGTGACAGCAAGACTGGTTATGACACAAGAGGCATACGGTGATAGTAGCAGAGAACTGTAGATACAAAAGCACCAAGATGCTGCTGTATCTGTCACTTTTAATTGGCCCCCTTTGTGTTTTGTCTATTAACCAATCTAGACCTTCGTACAGATGGGGGTACTTTGAGAGTCACATCAGCGCGCGACTTGCAAATGGCGTGTTCGGAGGAGGAGCGGCAAAAACCTTTACCGTGCAGAAAAGGTCGGAATGTACAACGCTATGCATGCGTCTTGGGCCCGAGTCGTGTGTCTCTGTCAGTTTTAACTCAGCTGAGTTGATCTGTGAAGTTTACGATAAAACTACTGACGACGACTCCAACACTTCTCCAGTAGCGAGTGAAGGATGGGAGTATTTAAATCCAAAGTTCGGTAAGTCTAATGATGTGAAACCACCATTATTTTGTTCACACCTATCATTCAGTAATTTTCGTCTATTTTCTATTATTTTCGACTATCTTCTGACTTCTGAGGATTAACTTCTCTCTCTCTCTCTCTCTCTCTCTGTTTTGAAGTGTGCGCGGTGCGTGCCTACGTCGCCCTTTCATTAGGAAAGATGTAATCCGTAGTTACCTACATGTACAATACGACAACCACAAATAACACCTTTTTTCTGGTTAAAAATCAACATTTTAGACGTCAGCTTATGGCTGTGGAGTTCAAGAATTGTTCTATCAGCACCTCATCATTTTGGTAACGATCTAAGGAAGCACTCTTTAGCTTTTTAATTTTTTAAATTGTATTTTCGGTTGCTTTGATAAAAAAATTCTCATTAAATTGATAAACAAAGTGCATTGCCACATGTCTAGCCTTTTCTTTCGATATTCATCAAGCAGACAAATCACGATATACATGTATAAACTTAAATGTATATATCGTCTTTAAAACCGTATCACATATCGAGCATTTAGAATACCGAAAAGATTATTTTGACCATGTATTGCATTTTAGTTTTCCCAAACGAAGATTTTTTCTCGCTGAAATGTTTTATTGTTGCCCTTAACGATGTTTTTCAATCATTCTTGACATATTTGCTTTTCTTTGTTGTTGTTCCGGGCTTCATGTCTATTGTGGGTACCGTGGCATTGACCGCGCAAATTTATGGGTAATTGATTGTCGAAAGAATCAATTAAGAATAAAGGGCATCTTATTGAGGATAAGGTCAATTTAAAACACATTGTACTCGTTTAAAGTGGTGCGCTTACTTTATCGATAAATCGATTAAGTGAATCATGGGACCTGCTCTTTGTTATTACAACCTCAGGTAATTTTATTTTAGGGTTTTAGCTTGAAAAGAGTCTTGTCTCAAATCCAATTGCAAATCAATCTGGAAATGAGCACTGGCATGGACAGGGAGTGCATCTCAGAATATATTCATAACATGTTCCGGATCCTTGCCATCTTCCTATCACCCGGGCCTTTGTATAATTTATTTTTTATGTGATTTGCGCCGCAATGGAAATCATTCGAGACAGCCCAAAATGTCGCGACTTATCGTAAAAAATCAGGTGAGACCGATGGAAAAATAATCGGCAACACAACCTTTCTGTAGCTAATGGTATTATTATTATTATAGATTGTTTTAAAATAGTAAAGGAGGTTATCGATTAGGTTCATAACTTCCTTTAAGTGGGGTTCATATATTTGCATATTTGCATTTGCAAGGGGTGCTACGAGGCGACTCTTTGACCTAAGTAATTGTAAACAAGTCAAACCTCGATACGGGACATCAAATTCTTGAATATTTTATGAAGACTATAGAAGCAATAGTAGTATAGGGTCGTATTCAATAACATTATTAGGCTCAATGGTTTGTGAAATAATGGTGTTCCAGGTTTTATTCAAACACATCACTTTTTAGTTAGATAAAGTTACAGTACCGTCTATTTATGACAAAATAAGACTATCAAATTATTTTCTTGTCTTTAAGAACTGTGAGGGGTCAACTTTTCATTTTCAGGCCATTTATTGGCATGTGTATTAAACAGTTGGTAGTTGTTCTTCGGTCCACTTCTCATTAACAAAAAGGGTTGGTTGGACTATTGAGTAAATCTACTTTCATCCGTCACCTGGATCAGTCGAATAGTAGGCTACATGTATGATAAGATTATAAAGACACAGGCGGGTTCTGATGCAAAAATAGTTAAGGTCGAAAATTGCTGTACATTTTTTGACCAAATTAAATAACATATTGCACCTGCTTGTAACAGGAAAGGTAGTGTTGATGTTCCAGAACAACAACTGTTTTTATTAGATTTGACTGCTGTGGATTAACCTTGCCCAGGCGCCGTCTATGCTCTTTATGTTTTAGAACCATCCCATACTATAGTGTTTTTAACCGGCCTTAAGGTGCATGTAACACTCTGGAAATGGCCAATTTGGTTAAGGTGTTTTTATTTATTTATTTATTTATTTATTTATTTATTTTATGTATTTTAGCAACACGTATCTAACGTGAACAAAGGGAATTCAGGAGTTTTCACGTTTAGATACTAAGCACAAGACTCGTTCTTAATATTAATAAAACATTCATACAAGACATTTCAGTATATTTTGTTTATCACTAAAATTAATTCCAACATTTTGTACTATAAAAGGTGTATGAATTCTTGTAACAAGAGTTTGCTCTTTGGTCTGATGTGGTCCTTCCAGAAATGTAACGTACTGAGGGGTTAAACTTGAGAGCTATTTCTCGAGATTTTCACCCAATCACGAATGCATTCAAGCATGCCCGTACAAGCACGCAGTCACATATACATGTGTACACCTTAATATTCATTAAAAAACGTTCTAGGTATTATATTAGTTCGAACTTAGGTTAGTGCCTTTGTTTAAAACCAACGTTAACTTGACATATTAATTTGCATTTGTTTTTTTTTTTTCCCATAAGGTCCCCCACAGAAACCTATAATTTGGGAAGCTAAATCTCCGCACAGAAACACCATAGAGGTCTCCTGGGCGCCAGACGTGGACGGCGGCTTTGAACAGACCATCACCTTGGACATCAAACTCCAGAACGCGGATGACAGCACTTATGTGACAAAGCTGACGGTGACAAACCCGGAGTACCTGGTCAACGTTACCACCATCTTGACGGACTTGGTTGAGAACCTCTTCTACACCCTGCGGTTCACGTCCACCAACACAAGAACAGTTGGTATAAACAATGCCTCTGTCACGGTTGACGTACAGACCTTTTCTGACGGTGAGTTCTCAGGTCTAGAGTCAGCCGTCTGGAAGCCTGGGGTATTCTCAAGCTTTAATCAAAATACTATCCAGGCCTGGGTATCTGGGGAAAGAGTGTTTGTACAGGGTCACTTGTTGTTCTTTTAGCATGATCATAACGCTTAGGTTTATCACCAAGGCGGTTTTTCTAACTTTACATACAATCGCTACTAATTATAAGGACTTCCGAGTCCACAGAGTTTTACACTGATGACTGAGATATACTGGGTAATGCTTATAGAAAAAAAATCTATTAGAAATATCCACTCCGGTCGACTTATCGTCCTGATCGCACTTCTTTCAAAATATTTTTTTTCTTTTTTTCAAGGTTTCACATGCGAAAGATGGAAATCGGAGGGTAGCCTAACCAGCGGTACATATACCATAGATCCTGACGGCAACGGTCCTGTGACGTCATTTGACGTGGACTGCGACATGACCTTTGACCCGCCCTTGACGATCGTCCACCATTCCATAGAAGGGAGAAGCTCTCAGCTTGGCCCGTCACATTCTGGCTACTACTATCGTTCCCTGAGTTATTCCCCCGCTACAACAGACCACGTGGTGGCGCTCGTAGACAAAGCAAGTCACTGTCACCAGTTTCGTAAATTCGAGTGCCATGGTGTTGGAAGTAAGTAACTTCATTTAAATACAAAGGGTTAGAATATGTTTTACAGAACTGACAAAATATTTTTTGAAATAATAAATAAAAGAGAATTCAACGATTACGGATTGATTACGGATCAAGGATTCACTGAAATAATTATTAATGGCGTTTTTGTGCCCGCCTGGTAGGTAGAATCATTCTACATTGAAGTGCAGATCAATTATCATTTAACAATATAATAATGGCATTCATCGTCTTCTGGTAAGTGTAGTGATAACTGACGGAATAATAGTTTCTTTTTTTTGGGGGGGGGTGGAGGCGGGGGAGGGTCAGGTAGACCTTCGAGGAAGTTGGGAATCTTTCAAATCTCGAGTTGACTATACTTAATAACGGCACTATCGCAAGTCCATGTCGTCAATCATCACCATGTCCATCTATCATGAAGTGAATACCCGCGGTTTCAGATACCGGAAGCGGCACCGACCAAAGTGACAGGGACGGAGCCTACCAGTTCTGGGGCGCCTATTTTGCCGGCGGCTCCCCAGTATCTAAATGCCTTTGTGGAAAATATTCAGCATGTAGAAATGGGAGATGTAAGTATACATTCATCTTAAGCAAACTTCATTTGTAGCTTATTATTATACAAAAGGTTAAAGGGATAATAACTCTTCGTTTTGGCCAAAAAATTAATTTTCCTGGAGTAAACAATTTTCCCATACTTACCAATGATTAATGAATCCATTTTTATATTCGAAGATAGTCCCTGGTTTTTTTCTAAAAAATTTGGTTTTTTGTTAAAATCTCTTAAGAGATTATAACAGAGTAAAGCCATCAATGGAGGTCAGGTGATCTGAAGACAAGCTCAGATATCAGAATAATAGCTATCTGCTGTTTTCGTCGTAAAACAGAATATATTATATTTCTAGGAGTTATTCACAATGTTTTTATTGTGAAATATAGATTTCATACGAAGAGTTATTATCCCTTTAAGTGGCAACGACTGACGTGAAATACTTCACGAAACAGATTTCGATCATTTTTTCCATACTTTTTACTTCATTAAATGTCCTATGTCAAGTTATGCTTTTTTAATCATCCAAAACAAATCAAAACACCAAGTTCATACAATTTATTCATTTATTTATGATAAAAACAAATAACGCTATCATAAATTATGTTGTAGATAATTATGGTGTACTTGTTGGAGATTTGAGATTTTTCTAATTAAAAAATTAATAAAAGTTGCCCGACAGTTTATTTCCACATTACACACACCGTTATGGATCCACGAGGTTCTCACGTTGCTTCGCTCGACTCTATATAAGTTCCTTGAAACAGATTTTACATGCATTTCTTGCGTAAAGATGAAAGGTAAAATATAAAATTGTTCTGAAGACTTTTGTGTTTAATCTATGAGGCATGGCTTTTGGCCTTTCCGGTGCTCACTGCAAAGAGTTAGTCATAGATACTAGTAAAAGCTTGGAAGAATTAGTATTAATTTTTAAGTTGCACTGACGCTTCACAGTGAAAGCCAAGTGGTTGCTATACAGTGGGTTTCAGGAACTGCCATCCGGTACCTTACTCATGCATTTTATAACACGTGGTCAATTTCAGCCGACTGTGCCTGCATGGCCAACGATGTCGTTTGGCGAGAATCTGCGGGATACCTTCAGGAGAAAGTGGTCCTTCCCATCGTGAATACAAGAATAAGTGACATTGACGGTACCAATGAAATGGGATTCGAGACACTGGGGCCGGTGGTTTGCTCTTCCTGGCCAGAAGGTAGGATTCATGGCACACAAATGAGTCCCTGAAATGTCAAATCGCGAAAGGTTCCACTTTAACCTGGAAATAGTATATAATTCCTAGAAGCTGACCTCATGATTGCATAAAGTCATCTCATGAGTGTTCTGAAATCCTTGTACTTTGCAATCTTGTCGAACAACTTCTTGAGTTGGACTGCATGTAGTTTTTGGTTCATATAAACCTGGTGTGTGAAGTTATTGGCTCATTATATATTAAATTTTTTTTTTTTGGAAAATAATGGTTCTTTTCAATGTTAACTCAATCAACCTGCAAATTGAAACAGATTAATATGTTTTGCACTTAAAAACTATCTATCCGTCTCTAAGGTCACAAAAGAGCACGTGCCATTCTACGCAGGCCCCCAGTATGTGAACGCAGATGACAGCATGCAGATACTTAAGTTGATTAAGATATATTAAAACCTTAAATATGTAACAAATATCCAGGTCGTGAACATCCGCTAGGGATGGAAAACTCCCTCATTGCTGATTCTGCACTCTCTGCATCAAACACCGACTCCAGTAGCCAGTGCACGGTGACCAACGGCCGAGTGGGGTCCGCCTTCGACGCGGCCTGGTGTCCACCTGCGGCTAACTTGGATACTGACCAATGGTTCCAAGTGGACCTGGGCAAGGTCATGGTAGTGACCAAGGTGGCCACACAGGTGAGAGTTGATTTGGGAGTACTGTACCCTAGCCGAGCGTTATTTTACATAGGAGAGTGATTATTGCAGTTTGACCATGACGTAAAAATAATGATGGCAACGTGTATTTCCCACATCATTAAATTGAAAAGAATCTCGTATCACAGTGTATGCATGTTACATTTACATGTGTACGTTGAGCAAGTGAATGTTAAATGCAACACAACCGCCTCACTCATCATGTGGACTATAAGTAACAAACATAATATTTTTGCGCATTCAATACTTGTTCTTACAGTTACCAAATTGATTACTCGTAACACTGGCAACACATATGTGAAACACCAGTCTTTGGTCTGTAAAATTTAGATTCTAGTAAACCCCAAAGTTTCTAAAGTGTTGATATATTATTCATCGGGATATTTAAATTTCATCGACAATTTATTTGTACGTTCCATTAGGGTCAAGCCGGTCCGTCTAACCGCTGGGTAACAAAATACAGTCTCCTCTTCTCAAACCTTAGTTACACTAATTTTGAATGCTATACATCTGGAAATGGCACTTGTAAGGTAAGAGACCCATTTGCTATCAATAATTTATCTGATTTGTGCCACCTTAATTGCACCTTTTGAGAGTACTTTCGGCTCTGCCATTCGTTAAACAAAACAGACAAGAGTCAAATGATCCGACCATGCAATTCAAGTAATTTGTTTTCATCAATTGAATAATCCTCGATGCCGTAGCGTTTGTATGTTAACAAAGTTGTAACTTTTAAACAGGTTTTCAATGGCAACTGGGACGGTGACGCAGTGCGCACTAATTACCTAAGACCTGCGGGTACAGGCAGATATATACGCTTCAATCCCAAGGCTTGGAACACACACATTAGCCTTAGAGCAGAAGTATATGGGTTTGAGGCAGGTAGGTCGGGTATTTAAAGAGATGTCGTGTCAAACTGTCTGTCCCCTCCCCCACATTTGCATGAGTATACCAGTAGGCCCCCTATGTTCAAGGCAGACTCGAATCTTATCTTACTTAAAAGTACAAATGAAGCGAGAGCAAATTCCCTGTAACGTACCTACATAAATTATTATACCAGTTTGCGACAGATCAAATGACCAACTTGATAAATGACCAACGTCTCTTTTCTTAAAGGCATTTGTTTTTACCCTTAGGCTATACTAACACCAGTGACATTCCCACTGGTCAGTCGGTCACTCTCACCTGTCCAACGGGCACTTGGCTTGACATCCAAGACGCATTTTATGGAGACGAGAGCCAAAACTGCCGTGCCACACAAAAGAACGCCATCAAGGCAGTTAAGACACCATGTCAACAGCGTTCGACCTGCACCGTCACATCCGGGACCTCCCTCTTTGGAGATCCGTGTTCCTCAGTGAGCAGCAAATATATGTGGATAACGTATAAATGTGTCTGTAAGTATATTGAATGGCACGTCATGTACTAGTATGAATGACAGTATGGCTGAATGACAGATGTTAGGGCTCGTCTCTCTTATTCCAAATCTACTCGCCATCTCATATATATATTTATTTATTTATTTATTTATTTATTTATTTATTTATCAGGCAATAAACATGAAAAAAGGGCATAATATTCAGTTACTCAGTTGTATTGAATTGTTTTTTCAAAATCAACTCCTACATTTGTCTAAAATTCACATATTTTGTTAAATGATAGTTTACATCACTTTTCTAAACATACGCCTCATCTTTAAATATTATGTTGTAAATATTCTGTTCGCATCCCCCTTTCTTTAAGATGCAAATCAACTACCGTTCCACTTGTAATGAACACCAAAAATGTATCCTTTTTAGCCATCCTCAGTTCTTGCTACGAATACTATATGCACGGATTTACGTACAGCGGTCCCTTTGAAATTGATCCAGACGGTCCAAACAATGGCGTCGGGCCGTTCATCGTGGAGTGTGACATGACGTCGACACCACCTGGGAAGACGTTAATTCACCATAATAGAGAGAGCGAGTCCGGGACTATTTCGGTAATTTTTGTCTTGTTGTTACACTTCTTTGGAATTGGTTCGGATGTTCTTATCTGTGAGCCTTGGTCCGTTGTTGGGAGGACCACATAATCCATAAAAATAAGCACGTCAGAAACGCCAGAAACGAAAGCGTTTTTACGAAAATTTAAGTGACACGGTGTACATGTATGCTTACAAATGAATATATGTACGCATACTATAAGCCGTTTTCGTTTAGTAATTCATCATTTTTACTCTTTTGAATATTTAAATATGTAAATTATTTTCTTCAGATGGTGATTAGCCTTTGTTTGACTTTATATATTTCGGAACCATATTTAAAAAAATCTCAGACGGTTCTTTTTTCTCTAGGGTCATGAAAATTGCGCCGGTTCAGGCTACACGGCCACTGTCACCTACTATGGGGTCACCCTTACCACCCACATACCACCCTTCATGAATACCGTTGGTGCCTGCTCTCAGTTTGGTAAATACCGCTGCAATGCAGCCTCTGGTGTAGGGACCACGTGCACTTGGGCCAAAGACAGAGGTGAACGAGTTTTCTGTTTCTAATAAATCACTCGCAGTTGTATCTCGCGTACTTTGCACAATGCAGCATGTAGTTGGATCAAAGCCTTTATGAATATTAAGCTGATGTCATCAAATGTTGTAAAAGTATTGAATTTGGCAAAAAAGTATTGAATTTGGCTGAGGTCAGTTTGTTGTTTTGCAGACCTCAGAAAAGTGGTATTGACCATGGGGCAGATGAGATTGATTTCACTTTCGGATGTATGCAAAACAACGCATTGACTGCTTTATCATAAATTGAAATACCTGGATGTCGAAGTCGTCCAAGATAAATAAAAAGTTGCAATATAGCTGTAGTCGACCACATGTTTCCCATGAGATAATGACAATATATCTAGGGCCTGTTTCACGAAAGAATGTTTGGTCTTAACTTAAGACCGACAATTTGGCCTGTTTCAGTTCATAATAAAGCCAAATAATAGTAGCTCGCTTAGATAATTAAAGTATTGGTCTGAAATATCAACCATGTGCACGTATTATAACACAAGCGTAATATTTCATTTAATTGGATCTGCTATCTTGGGTAAAGGTACCAGTAGGCTAACGCTTTGGTTTAACGGTTGAGAGAAAATTTCTGGGCTAAAGTTTCTTTTTTATTTCAGCAGGTCGTAGTCTTTTGTGCCGCGTATTATAGGCAACTTGTCTGTTAACCACTATATGAAACGCATGTCTTTTAGGTGGTACTCAAATCCCGTATTGGGCCGGTGGAAATGCAAATCACAAGTGCGCATGTGGGGTCGCTGGGACTTGTGACAGTAAGTGCATTATTAAATTTCACTGCCAAATTTTAAAGGATTTTAACAACTTATTTACGTTATTTATAGACCTGTCACTGTCTTGTCGTGTTAAGTCATTGCTTTATTTATTATTACTTGTGCGTTATATAACTACACGTACCCTGTTATCGTACTGATAGTAATATGCAGGTTGCTTAGGATGACATAGGCCTATTTCTTGAATGTCATGGTACCAAGAACATAGAAATTTGAAAGACTTGCACCTCCGGTCTCACCTCCAGTACTTGTCACTTCTTAATGACGATTTACTTGATGAGACACGCCACAAAATAATGCCAGTTTTTGTATAAGCATTGTTGTTATTGTACGATTCAGTGCCACATGAAGCAACTTTTGCGAGCAAAGTAGGCCTATTACATTTAACCACGGTCTTATATTTAATTACCACTGCAAATATCTAAAATTTCTTCTTTTTAGATGGAAGAACCGATTGCAGTTGTAATCAAAATGACAACGCCGAAAGAGTCGATCAAGGTTATTTTACCGATAAATCGTTGCTACCAGTGTCGTTCATTCACGTCGGAGACACCGGAGACGCCAGTGAATGGGGAAGATACACGTTTGGGCCTCTGGAATGTGAACCAGGTGAGAAAGGACGCTACCTACCAAATAAGGTGACATTGATTTGGTTTGAATGTCATACGGCAAACTCTTTGTGAACGCAGTATAATGGACAAAACGATACCATTCAAAATATTTGAAGGAGTTCAAAGGGTACCCTTAGCTTTGGAGACGTCCCGTCTCTTATTTTATCTTTTTAAACAACAGTTAATGATATGTTAACACCGAGATGAAGTACTGTACACGTATGTGCCGTTGTATGCTGCTGCTCGTCACATATATGCGTTTACATCAAACCACCAGTCGCATAGGTTGATTATCTTTATGTCACACACCCCTACCCCCCACCCTTGACAAAATCCAAGCTCTGCCACTGTTCGCATATAAGTAGGCTACATCTTTTTCCATTCCAGCATTGCCGTCTTGTACCGAATGGAAGCGATTTACCTCCACGAGCGGAACTTACTGGGTTGATCCAGACGGAGGCGGCGGCGTGGACGCATTCCAAGTTCAATGTGACATGTCCACCAACCCGCCAACAGCCACGTTCAGCCATGACCATGAGGCCCGCACTCACGTGAGCGGATATGACCCCGCGTTGAGCTACTCCGCCACGCTGACTTATGATGATGGTAGGTTGTTTTTTCGAAGTTTAATGTGACCATAAGTCATTTAATGGCCTACATTGAGCATTAGACCTTCAATACCTTTATTAGACCTTTAGACCTTTATACAGTAAAAAAGTGAATGTTACCATTAAATTGAGTATTGTACATTTCAGCCAGTGTTGAACAAGTGGCCACTTACGTCGACTACGTTGGTGAGAGCTGTACGCAGCACGTGAAGTATGAATGTTACCACTCTGTTATATCGGTTAATAATGGTACATTAAATTACGCTGCCTGGTACGACCGCAATGGACAAGTGGCACAGTTCTGGCCTGGCGGGGACCCCGACGGCGTGCCTTTCAACTGCGCATGCTCGCAAAATGGAACCTGTGCCAGCTCAGCACATAGTGAGTTGTTACCTGTGTGACAGGAATGGTAGTTCCACTAGGAAATGCCGTCTTTTCCCCATTACTTTGTACAGGTGACATTAGTGCCATGTACTAACCCCAATACTCCGACTAACCCTAACATGTACTAATCACAGGGGATCCTGGACTATTATTCCTAGAACTACCTTTCCTGTCACGCCTGTGTTTGTCTACAGATATTTAATTCAGCCTTTAGTTTCTCGGGATTCCTTATCTTCTCTTTAATTTTGATTTTTGAATCATGCTAGCGCCAATCCTGCTTTGCTATATCTTGATACCCTCCTCACACGCTCGCGCACGGCTTGCATGCCCAAGACGCAACAGAAAACAATTAAATGATTTATTGTATAACATCTTCTGATGCATTACTCACTGTTGAGAATGAACTATAAATAAGCTTTATTTGTAAAGCATGACCTTTATACCATATAGGCCTAACCCTCCCAGGTTTCTGAATTTCCTTGCAAAAATATTTGGTCAAAGTGGACATTATTCCAGTTTTTAGTTAAAGAATATACATGTACATGCATGTGGTACATGTGGATCCCTGAAAACGTTCATAACCAGAATATATATATATATATATATATATATATATATATATATATATATATCGTATTTCTTGCATCCCAGACTGTAACTGTGACCTGAACGATTCTACATGGAGGGCTGACGAAGGCGACGTGACCGACCCCAGTTACTTGCCGGTATCCAAGGTTGAATTTGGCGACACCGGAGGAGGCGAGGAGGGATATCACACCGTGGGCCCACTGGTATGTCGCGGATAATTCCACCAGGGATGCAGAAGTGATTTTTTTTCCTTTTAATTAATTTAAAAACCCGGTTTTTCTTCTCAATCCGCAGTCGATAACAGAAGTACTGCGTTACTGGCAGAATGTCAACCCCCCCCCCCCCCCCCCTCAAAAAAAAGGAACAAATTTCCTAGCAACCTACCCAGCTCCCCTGTGGTTTTTGGTTTATACAAAGTATACCGGGTACGTTATATTCAGTTTTGTCATTGTAACGATAAACAATGGTACAGATACGTCAATCACTCTGAATAAGAAAAAAAAATTGATGATGTGACAAACAAAATAAAAGTTAAGACAAATGCTGACAAAATTAAGGCGTTAACTACAGACGTCAAAAGAAAGTCAAGGTGGCTGTTTTATTACGTGAGAACTTGCACATCTACATGTAGTTTGTTTTTAAACGAGACCTTCGATTTGATGGCGAACATTGTGGTCAAATATGTGGAAAATATTAAGAAATGCCCGGATGCAGGGGCCAGGTTCAAGATGTACCATTGTTTTAAACTGTGATAACTCCTTTTCATAATTATCTGTGCTTTTTTTCTGTAAAAAATGAGTGATGAAAAAGTAACGCCTGCATTGGGTTTTATTCTTATCTTACTGAGAAATCAATTCGGTCGTCTGATTTTCTGTTCGGTCATTAAAGGATTACCAGACGAATTTGTTGTTGTTGTTTTTCTTAATTTCTAGTTTTGCGATTACTTATAAGATAAAAAATATTTTCCGGGTGCTTTGAAATCGGTCTTTTTCTCGGAGGCATTGACTTAAAATACGAGTGATCCTTGCAAAACCTGCGACACTATCTCAAAAGAAATTGGCATCTCAAAAGAAATTGTTCTTCATACTTCTTTTACCGCCATTTGATGTTTTAAAATCTCTGAAGATTCGAAACTGAACTCTTAATTTGTCGCCAAAGCGCGAGGTTACAACCCCCCCCCCCCCCTTCTTGATATCATGTATATTATAGACCCGTGAGCGTTAGGGGAGACCGGGGCTAGTTGGACCCCGGGGTAAGTTGGCCCCCCGTCAATTTATGAAAAAGTAACTACGAGGTAAAAAAATTGGCCACATACTCTTGTAAAGTGACCGTAGCCTACAATGCTAAGGAAGTGTCGGACGTTAAAAAGTTTTACTTAAGCGGTGAGTCCAAATAAACGATTTTTGCACCTAAAAGTAATTTTGTTTAAGAGAATTAAAAATCAAGTTTCATAGGCTTTTGATCGAATATAATACATGTATAGGGCATCAAACTGAAGCTCATTGTTTCAAGTTTCACAGAGATATATCATCGTTGCTCATTCTAGCATCATAAATGGTTGCCATCCTTTAATATAAAAAAGGGGGAACCGGGGCTAGTTGGCCCCCTAGACTTGGGCCAAGTTGGACCCTCATATTACCCACAATCCTTTGCGCGCAACGCTGTTTGAAATAAACAAGTTGGTGAAATTGACAAAG